GACTTTTTTCGGCTCCTTCAATTCGTAAGACCTAAGTCAGATATGGAGAGACCTTTCTTTTGGCTTTTTGAAAATGTCGTTGGCATGAGAGCAGATGACAAGAAGATTATTTCAAGATTTCTAGAGGTGGGAACTGTTTAAATTGTTTAACTATACACACATAATATTTTGTCCCTCAAATCATAGGTTTCAAATTTTCTCTTTTCGTCTCTGTAAAAAGACCAGGTTTGTGACATACTACTATTTAACATGTTGATTCCCTTTAGTGATCTGAGTTTAATTGTGGAAGCTTTTCTAAGCCGAGTTATCCTTTTTCTAAGGCGGGATTATTACTTCAGAATCAAGTGTTATATTTAAGGAGTTAATCTTGGATTCACCCTTGGTCAATCGTGTTTCGAGTCGGTCGGTCCTACAGTACAATGTGCAGTAACCAATCAGTGCTGGTGAGCTACTCAGACTATCTTAGTTTGACTGGAGTTCAGATTAAATGCAGTTGTCAAACAGAATTTTGTTTCTTTATGGCAGTGTAATCCAGTGGTAGTGGACGCCAAAGAGATCTCTCCTGCTCACAGAGCTCGTTATTTCTGGGGAAATCTGCCCGGAATGAACAGGTGATTCATTTGTACTGTAGCTCTTACGTACTGTACTTTTTCATGTCTTCAGTATTAATATAGTGTTCTATATAGCAATTGAAGCGAAAGAAAACTTGAGCTGAGTGTAACGGAACTGTTTGAAATTTGTCGCAAGTTTGTATTGGACATAAAACATTTGTTTCGACATTATTAGCTTCTTTTCCAACACATGTTCATGCCGTAAAGCCGTAAATGATTCTGAGGATGGAACACGAGGCTAATTCCGCTTCTGGGAAAGACAACCATCCTCAGATAAACACAGTGATTATGGAGAGAACTTGCTCAGTGCGAGGGCTCGTAGATTCGTCCAGTGTATCAGTGAACCACTGTTATGAAAAACTTATTCATTTATGTTCAAGTCAGCAAGATAGTTAGTGAATAGGCATGAAGCTGAGGTCCTATGTTTAGTGCATACGTTTGTGACTTTGATTTCACAGGCCAACAGTGCCTTTACCCGGTGATAAGCTTTGCTTGCAGGATTGTCTAGAACCAAACTGTGGAAGGCAGGCCAAGGTAAGGCAACAACTACCAAAAAATAGTTGTAAATTATGCGTGTTTCATCAACAACAACAACAAATCTTTTTTGTTCAGCAAAATGGTATCAAAATGAAACGAAAAAAATCGTTTTATAATGAACAAGTAATCAATATTCGAGCTTCGAGGCGAGAGGAACTGTGAGATTTTCGAGTTAGTCCCTGTCCAATTAAAGTCAGTTTTTATTAAAAGAAAATTCAAAAAATTAAGAGAGAGCAGTAAGAGAGAAAGAAACCAAAGTTAATAGATAATGTAGTATTACTTAGTACGACAGATAGTATAATTTCTACTCATTTACTTAATTTTTTAGTTCACTAAAGTACAAACTCTGACTACCAATGCCAACTCTATGCTTCAAACCAAGAAAGGTCTGTTTCCAGTTCAGTATACAGGAGCAGATGGACAGCGGAAGGAAGATGTACTTTGGATCACGGAGATGGAGAGGTAATCATTACGGCCACTAGACAGAAATGAAACATTTTTTGTTCCTTTTACCCTGCGAAATAGAGTGCTCAACCAAAGAGTGATTTCCTTCAAACGGCAATTTTTCACTCGTTGGCACACAGCATGCAGTGCACTTTGATTGAGTGTTGTTAAGAGAATATGGTGAATCGAGTTGTCTTGATGTCCTAAATCTAAAAGTAAAGCTATATTTTTGGCCATTCAGAACAATGGCAGATATTCAAACTAAGAAAAACAAACCGCCCCAAGTACGGGACAACGCGAAAGCGCGAGTCAAAATTGAAATCATGCAGTTTTTTCGATTGCTTTTCTCAATGGTTATGACTGGTTGACCTTGAGAATTACGGCGGATATATATATATATATATATAGCACAAGTGGTAATAACTTCCTCTGTAAACCAAAATATCTCGATTGGCCTCATGATTTATTTTGTCTGGTCCAAAAATGCACGCGAACAGGAGTTTAGGCTCAGCTGCTACACAAGGTATAATCATATTCAAATCAGTTCATTTCTATGTACCTTGTACCCAGTTAGAGGCTAGTCTTGCTTTGAAGAAACGACGGATTAGGAAACTTGGATAGGCGAGAAATTTTCTATGTCAACCACACCTTCTATCGTTTGATTTCTTAGTCAACTGTGCTTGTGATAATCTTTGATTCACCGGGGAAACTTTCGCAACCGTGGTCTAGTTAGCTTTTCTTGTTGAAAATTGAAAAAGAAAACTCGTTTTACTGGAAATGAGTGAGTGGAAATCCATCGATTCCCGGTTGGCGCCTCATTCGCGACTAATTTTGAGCGACCAAGACTCTAAGAAGATGTAAAAGAAACAATTGGAGGTCGTTGCCATGGCAAATATAGCAGTTTGTTGTTATTCCACGTGTGCTTTAGTGTCGAAAGTTTTCCAGCCTTCATCAGACTATCCTTACCCAGGAAACTACTTTACACTATTTACTATTCCCCTCGACTAAACCCAATTGGTTTCTCGTTACCTAAGCTACACCCGAGCCAATTGACCCATTCGGCGCGAATTCCTTCCAGTGTTCATAATATGACATGCGTATTTGTACGCCTAATGGATGGGATCACATACTCATGGATGAGAAAGCCACTATGTGGGTAAAGCGCACAATGGTCACAACTGGAAATTTCTGGACTCAGAGTCTAACACGCTGACAAGGATGACATTACGTCCTCCGCTACTGATTGCGCTTTAAAAATAGTACTTCTTTGCTTTCCATCTTGGCTTTAGGTTGTTTGGTTTACCATCGCATTACACCGACGTCAGTAACATGGGGCGCTCACAGAGACAGCGGCTGTTAGGGAAGTCTTGGAGTGTTCCTGTAATACGGCATCTTCTGTCTCCTTTAAAGGAATACTTTAAATGTGAAGCATGAAATGCTTATATGACGTGACCGATGCATACGCAGCTAGTTGTGTCCGAAAGTGAAAACGGCCAGTTTTTTTTTGTATGTGGTATATTTGTCCCTCGTTTACTGGACTATTTTAATATTCTTCTATTTTAATATTCTTGTAATTCAAGGTTAGTTCTTTCGTATGCAAAAACACCCGTTCCAGTTTTTTTTTTCAGTCTGCAAGGAAAGAAACGAAAACGAAACACAGATATGAACGTCTTTTTTAATTTGATGCTTTAGGTAACTCTTGTAAATTTGCTGAATACTAAGTGGAATCCTCCATGTTGCCCTAGGTGGTCACAGCGTAAGGTGCTCAGGACCACCAGTGTAGTAGGGCGATCTCTGTTTGGTTACTAGTTAGACTACGATCGTCACGTTACGTTCTGGTCCAATTGATCGTGCGTCTTTTAATAAAGTTTGTGTTGGGGGTGGGGGGTGGTGTTGCAGGTGTACTATATTCTCCTGGGGTGATAGGCTTAACAAACTTGTTCTTTGTTCTAATATTCTAAGAGGAAACAAATAAAAACATCCATCATATCTAGCGTTCGTTTCCTTAGAGTTAGTCTTGTTCTGGGATCGAAGTTGGATCTGGCCCACATTTCTTTTTCGCACATGATCTATGTCTGTATCAGAACTCAATTGCAACGACTGGAAACCAGTGCCTTTTGGCGCAGCAAAATTTGAAGTAGATGTTCACTTAAGGAGGAGGGAAGGGGAGGGTAGAGGCGGGTAGAGGCAGGATTCGAGCCTAACGTTACGCGGGAAACAAGTGAAAAGCAAAATCTGTAAAATTTTAAAATTTTCTAATTTCTTTGTTCAAGAGTGACTTGATGTCTTTCCAATAGATTTCCGCTTTCCCTACTCTTCATTTCATAAAATTATCTGCAAGTTAGCGAAAGCACTTTCGTTTGTGCCACAAACAATACTATACGATTACTTCTATCATACGTATTAGCATACAATCTTTTTCGCTCTCCTTATCACTGATTGGTGTCACCAGGAGCAAAAGCGCAAGAATACGTCACGAAAGACTTCGCCAACATACTTACAGTTTCATTACCCCACACAACGAGTTCTATTCGAGAATAGAACCTATTCTATTCACCCCTATTCTATTCGACTGGTCACTAGAACTACATGAAGATAATAAATCATCTTTGCCTTAAGTAAAAACAATAAAAACTCGTACTTTTACGCGATACAGGTGTTGAAACTTAAACTGTAATGGTGAAGATCAAAATCGGTTACGAGTTCTGGTACCGGATGAGAATTCATGAGAACTGCACGTTTAATTGGAAACTTTTCACTCGTACACTGAATATTCTAATTCAATTTGAAGCAGTTAGTCGTGGTCCAGATGTACGTACAGGAACTTTCAGCTGAGGTTCTTTGTTTAGCTTGTACATATGTTTGTGATTTTGATTTCACAGGCCAACAGTACCTTTACTTGGTGATAAGCTTTGCGTGCAAGATTGTCTAAAACGAAACTGTGCAAGGTTGGCCAAGGTAAGGCAACAACTACCACAGAAAGTTATGCGTTTCAACAACAACAACAATTAATCTTTTTTTGCTCACAAAAATGGTATTAAAATGAAGCAAGAAAGTTGTTTTATAATGAACAAGTAATCATCATGGGATTTTTGAGCTAGCCCCTATCCAATTTAAGTCATTAAACCTCTGACCAGCATACAAGATGTCACATGACTCTTTATTTTGCTGCGTTTGCACTACTTACATGTCACTACAGTGTAGATATACTTGAAGCCATTATCAGCAGGAAAATGAACAGTTTAGACTACAAACAGAACCGAGCGCCAGAAACAGAGGTAGATCTTTGAAATGAAATATCAAGAATCTTGACATTTCGTCAAAATTTCAATAGCTCAGCCAGTTGATTAAACTGATCAACCACTAAGGCTTTAAAACTACTAGCGTACATCACTGAAAGACTACTTTTTCAAATTCAATGGTGCTTGTAAACGATAAGTAAATAAACTGCAACAAAACCAAACAGAAGGAACCAAAAATATCATGACGCAAGTAAAATTCCATGGTGGAACTTAACAGCCAATATTTCAGAGGTCACCCATTTTTCCTAATTTTTAAAAAATCTCCAAAATTTACTGTTGTAGTTGGTTTTGAATGCCCTTAACTATGGAATTTTTAGCTGACCATTAATTCCAGTTCTTTCAATAGGTAATGCTCAAGAGCAAGAATGGGAAATGAACTCAGCAGAACTGGGTAACAAATTTGTCAAGGTATACAGAGATTTCTTCATTAAGACAACATTGACTTCAGTGAAACTTATTGTGTTAGCATGAGTTAAATTCTAATGATTTTCACTAATTAACAGCAGAGTACAGTACAGACAGCTGAATGACAGAGGTTTACCAAAAGGTATATCCCCCGCCTGTTCCTCCACTGAACCACCCAGCTTGTCGTTGTTGAACATTCACAGGCTGACCTTGAGAAGCCAATGCCTGAGCTGTATTGGGGGCATATCCTGGTGGAGGGGGCTGTCATGTCAAACAAAAAAAAGATAATCTCTTAATTCATGATGAAGATACTAAGAAATTCATTCAACCATGGACTGAGCCTAAATTATTGTGTCCCCATCACTCCTACTTGCTGAGCCATCAACATTCCTATGTGTTGTTGCGAATTGTTTGTTATCTCTTGGTGAGTAGCAGAACAATGATAAACAACTTACTGTGACTTCCTGGGGGGGAGGAGGGGAACAGACTAAAGAAAATGACTTTCATATATTCTTAACCAGACTAAAGAAAGTAGCCCATTCCATAGTTCAATGATTTTCGTATTTGTTTCTTTGTATTTTGCAAAGGGTGTGGTGAGAAGAGGTTTTAAATCTTTATTTCAACAAGTTATTACCATCAAACAATAGCAAACACTTATACTGAAAAAAAAACTTCAATCTTCAATTTCATGATTACTACAATCATGTGACCTTCTTCAGAGAACTAATTCTTTGAACTCCACAGCACTTACTACATCAAAATGCCTATCTATACATTCAATCCTTCCTTTACTCACCCAATTTTGTGATGAGGCTATACAATTTACATATGGATTGGACTGCATTATGAGTCTTATAAGATTGATTTAAAGGGGGGGGAGGGAGGGAGGGAGGGAAGAGGGAAGCAGGGCTATCAATTAGGTTATGAGGGAGAAATGTGAGTTATCCTTTAAGAAACAAATGTCCTTCCAGTGTTTTCCATTGCTTACAAAGAATAATGAAACTGAAAATTTTTGCTCTTACTGGAATATTCACTGATGATCCAGGTCCAAACCTTGCACCTGGGTCAAAGGCACCATGGACCAGTTGTTGTGGGGGACCTTGTGCAGGGTATTGTCCCACAGGATACTGTTGCCTGGGATAGTGTCCTCCAGCAGTCATACCAGGATACTGCTGCATCTGCAGTTGAGGCTTCATAAGATAAATAAAACAAAATCAGTGAGGATACAACCAAAAGTCTATTAAACTCTATTAACCAAGTCTACACCAAAGTGTATGCTATCAAGTTATTAGCTGATCCATATCACTCCCCTACTAAGAAATATTTCTCAGAAGCAAGTTCCTCTCTTTTGGCAACATCTCCCTCTTCCTCAAACAAGTTTGAAGGTTAAATCTTCCTTACAACATAAATGGGTAACTGAGGAACCTTTGTTCTGTTAATTAACATCATCATGGTATATAATTATCCAGTAACCTGTTTTGTGATAAACATGACACAATTATTGGACAAAAAATTTTCAAGAGGTATTTTTATCTACTGTGTATATTTTGGTTTGAACCTTTCCTTGTTTTAAAATTTTGAAGACCAAATTCAATTTTATTTTTGTTTTTCTTTTATTCAAAACTGTATTAAGCAGTTGGCCACGGGGAATGACAATGAGCCTACTTAATACAGGTTGACCGCTTGATACAGATTCCACAGAATAGGAGTATTATAAAAAATTGTGGAAATCTCCATGTTTTGCCATAATTGATTACTTAATTTATAAAAACTTGCTCAAAAATACTACTTACACAGATTTTAGGAGATAAAGATGGATTAAATTTTACTTGAAAGATTATTTTACTGTTTTATACTGGTGGAGAACAATACAAACGGCCTCTAGGACTAAGTATGAGTGACCACAACCCCTTGATAGGCCTGACTGCTTAATAGAGGTGAATATTACAGTACTAAAGGGGAAACAATTTCATGGCTTAAACAACCCACTGCTTAATGCAGGGTGACTGCCTAACATGGTGCTGCTTAATACAGGTTTGATATGATACTGAAATCTAAAACAAGAGATGTTAAAAGTCAAATTGGTTTAAAAAATTTAAAACAAGGGAAAATTTAAATCACATCATATATAATGTACTGGTGGCAATCTCTCTTTCATGATGTATGTGTTTGCACAAGCAGAATGAAGATATCAATGTAACACATATATGGTAATTTCTCATAACAGACTTCTACGTCAGACCTTCTTCTACATATTGCTTAACTAAAAAATATTAGAAAAGTTTCCCAACTATTCCATGTTCACCAATTTCCTTTCTTCAAATTCCTAAGAATTGTTGATAAGTTAACTATGCATCTTCAAGACCAATTTATTATTTAGATGTTAATTTATTAAATATTTAGATGTTAATATATTAAATATTTGGATGTTAATTTATTAATGATTTAGAGAAACCTGGCCAACCCTGCAGCATCAATGTAATTATCAGTCTAGTAAAATACTCAACGTCAACAAGATCATGTTTAGCTTCAAAGAAGTGAGGTTAAATCCATATTCTGGTTCCTTGTGATGTACGTAACACTTAAGCTTACAGTTTTACAATTGAAAAACTCATGGTTTGGAGTTCACAGCTGTATAAACCAGAATTTTATGTCACCACAAGGTCTGACAGGCTCAGGGATGATGATAAACATCCAAAAAATTCTTGCTTCAAAATGTTAACACTTAATGAGGGTAGTACAACATGAAATAACATAATGGAAGGCACTAAACTTCACCTCAAGGAAACTTAACAGATCACAAAAGCACGAAAAATACATATCATGGAGTAAACAAAGTCAACTCTACCCCAGAACACAACCTTACAATATTAGGTTTCAAAAACCTAATTTTCATAGGTGTTTAACATTGGTAGGTATTCTAATTACCATTGACTGTCAACTTACATTGTACATTCCACTAGGAGCTTGTTGGGGGGCATGTCCTGATATTGGCATTTCGCTGTATGGAGGAGGTGGGACACCATACATTTGTCCACCTGCAGCAGCACTTGCAAACTGTCCCTGCAGTGGATACTGCATGGGCTGAGGTTGGGTTGGGTATGCTGGCTGCTGAGTTGGGTATCCTACACCCTGCTTTGGGTATGAACCTACCAAATTATAGGAAAAAAAATCCTTATATTTGCCATTTACAGTATTTGGATGGGAATTTTTTTATGAACTCTTTTGTGATTTGTCTTTTCTATTAGAGATTAGAAATATACATTTTCACAGATTCATTCAAACTGCTTTAGGATATTTTGGTTTTTAGGATACCTCTACAAAGCCATTCCTGTCATCAAAACAAAAAGAGAATTTAAGAAGGAAGTTCGACAGTTTGTTATTCTTCATTTATTTCCTAAATTCAAGATAAGCTGCACCTTTTTGCAGCACACTTAACTGAATACAAGGTTCTTAAGTAAATGCAAAAAGACATTTACCATGGAATGGAGGGTCCTTAGTGAGTTACATTAACCTGTACAAAGGTGACCTTAAACTGGTAGAATGCCAATTCACAAACTTAACAATTAATATATAACAGTTGTTACAGCTGTCTTTTTTTAAGTAAATATGTAAATAAGTTTTTTCTTTGTTAATTTTATGAAAATGGAACTCTAATTATATGTAAGTGGTGCAAATGAAATGACAGTGTTTGGTGTGAGAATATTAGCTTCCTATGAAAGTATTAAAATTTCTACAAGCATGTTTAAAGTTGATAACTTTGCTTGGCCTAAATTACTGAACTTTTAAGAATGCACATTACTGTATATACAGCATAGAAATTTTACAGCATTTCACATTTTAGAATGGCAATTTTTTGTATGTTTTTCCAGGGAACAATCATTAGCAGTCAGAGAACACTGAAAATTCTACCTCTAGAAGGTAGTTTTAGGAAATTTCTACCCAAAGAATAAAATATTAACAAGGAAGGAAATTTAATATTTTCAAATCTTTTGCCATATCAAATTACATAGAAAAGAAGCTATACAGTAGATCATTTGTACATAGATATTTTGAGACAGTCTCGATACAAAGAGTACTAGTTGTTACTTGGGGTTTTGATCACCTTCAGAGATGAGAGAGTTCAACAGCTATCACACAGAATTCCCCTACAAGATTTTCCATTACCTATGGTAACCTATTTTATATTCAGACAAGGAGTGATCAATAAGTATGTCCTCTTTTGCTACATTTCTCACAGAAAAACCCAAATACTTGATTAGCAAATGGAGTATGTCATTCAGCTGAAAGAGCTCCATCTTTATGGAAACTTATTTTTCGCTCTACGCATTATGAGGAATTATATGAGCGAGTACACAGTTCCATAGCAAGCTTAGACTAACCTATTCAGATCTCAATCCTTGCTAGACGCATACCACTTACTGATGTGTTAGGAAGAATTGCATATTGCTTGTTTCGAAATCACAGAAAAAATCTTCTCATGTAGACAAAACAGGAGTTTTTCGCCATTAGCAGATCTCATGTTATGCTAACTATGACGTCCTTTCGATGAATTAAATGAATTGGCAGAATGTAATTAGTGACTCTGTATCGTGCAATCATTGTATCACGTGTAACTATCAACTCCTAAGGAACAACAGTATTCCTTCCCCTTTTCTCTTAGATTTATCCCTCCTAGCATCAATGCTTCAATCAACCTTCGTTCGAAAATGACAAAAAGGTTAGCATATTGTCAACTAAGCTAATTAAAAAGCTTACGCAGTATGACATAAGCAAAGAAAGCAGAAGATTTGTCCTTCCAAAAAGCACAACAAGAATTACTTTTGTTGCTAAAATTTGAACTAAAGTCAATAAAGTTTGCTTGACCAACCTGGAGGAGCCTTCGACATACTGAAGCTACCTTTTCCACTTAACAATTCACGGAAAACGATCTGATACAGACGAAGACACTCAAAACGAAGGGAACATAAATTCTACCTGAGAGAGTCTGGGTAGAGTAGTGTCCAGCTCTCTTTCATATTGATATGTAGCCCAGTTCAGCGCAAAACTTCCGTGTTCCACCTCATATCTCGTTATAATACAATAGCGAAAACAATGGTTTACCCAGCCTTTGGTAGTAATACTTTCTTTTGGAATTGTAAGGGTTCTACGGAATTTCAGCCGGGGTTTAGTCATTCAGTTAGCCTTGGGCGCATGAACTTTCACCATGCTTTAAAACAACCCGATAACGCCATTTTAAGAGTGATCGAAGTGACCCTGTGCTTGTGCTCTTGGTTAATGAGCCACGCATATAGCATACAGACGAAAATTGCAGTTAAGAACGTATTTTCGAATGGATGTTATCGCTGGGCGAAGTCAAGCGACAGATATACACGGTATAGTCAGTGACGGTAGTGCATGCTGGCCCTTCTTACTTTCAGTTGGATACTGAGATAGAGGAACTAAAGACAGTCTGGAAAAATTTCATCGTTAAAAAAGTGATAGGAAAGATTTCCAAACCACTCGTTACTCCCAATACTCTTTCTATGCATTACTCCCAATTTCTATGCATGACTCCCAATGGCAAACTTTTCGCCATCGTTTTCCTTCCTTTCTTCAAAGAATTGTATGCATAATGTTGTTTGGGGTTACACAGAATCTTGCTTAGCAAAATGATTAGAGCAAGAAATAACGAGGAAGTAATGGTGTTTCCTGGAAAGTCAGCACTGAACAATTGTAAATCGGGAATCGAGGATGGGGGATCAATTTTGATGAAATTATAACAATTATATACCACATGTGTTTCAATACCATAATGGTGAAAGACGTTTAATTTCATACCTGAACCATCCTAAATCAAAATTTTTGGGGTGACACATAATTTTGAAGCTTGTGTAGGGGAGTAACACCCATATAAGCTGCACTGTTTGCTTACCTCTGAAAGTGACTTATAAAATGTCACTCTGATTGTCTAAGTGGATTAACTAAGACAAAAACTGATCTTGGCAAATTGAAAATAAGTTTTAAAAATTTTGTACAACTGAGTGCAGCCTAGAAAATTTTGATACTTTCCATGTTACTTTCCTGTGAATTTCCCTTTGTGTAGGGGACATGTGGCAAGGACATTGTGGAGCTTAACACCGATGTGCCAAAACTGGACTGTTTACCACAAAATGTCCTTGCTACAGTTGCTTCTGCTCTGTCCCTGATTCATGTCCCAGCAACATGTCTCAAGCAGCATACTCATAAGCATGTCCCAGTTACATGAAGGAGCAATATGTCTCCACAAAATTTACTCCTGGGTGGGCCTTCCTTACAAATCATAAGGTGAGAGCATAACTATTCCACTCACCGATGGCTTGTGTGCTAAGGTTTTGGGGTTGCCATATTCTAAATCATTTTCAATTTATAACTGGAAAAACATGCAGTTTGATGGTTTTGCTGTACGAAAATTGGAAAATTTAACTGAGGTGGACTGGTTACATTTGAAGAGAAGTAGTATTTGTGGAAACAAAAATAGCTTTGCAAAGGAACATTTATTTTGAGAATGAATCACCTTATGATGCTGGAACTTGATGTGTCTGTGGGTAAGTTATTTATTTGGCCAAGATCACATTAATGGCTAGAGTGGATTTCTCTACTTGAAAAATTTAAAAGCTGATAACAAATTATGGGTTGCATCTTTTAGTTCAAACGATCTAAGAACAATTCTTCCTTGTATCCTTGGTTGTTGCTGCCTGTCTTTTGAATTACAGTGTGCATGGCTTCCCTTGAGGATAATCTCACAAACTTAGTTCTTACTTCTCTTTCTCAGGCTGATTCAGTTAAATGCAGTCCACCTTCCTCTTAAGAAGGTTCTCATTTGGTTTGTCCAGTAGATCTTGATCTTAAGCAGGTGCTACCCTCACTTCTTGCTCAAGGTAAGCATACCAAGGAGAAGGCCTCTGGTAAAAGGGAGCCTTCTGCTGCCCTCTGTTGCCATCACTTCATCCCATATTCTCCCTATTGCCCCATCCACGGCGGTGGTCTGAAAAAAAGTATTATTTACTATCATTGTGTGAAGTTAAAAATAACAACTTGAAGTTAAGTTGTGGTTCACCTTTTGATAACTGATTATTTTCCTGTGTTTCCTAATTGAAAACAGGTTTTTAGTTTCAAATTAGCTTTTAACTTGCTAAGTGGTCAACAGACTCACCATCTTTCCACTCGTCCCAGTCTCTTTTCTTCTGAAGCTTAACAGGGTCATCTTCACTTTCAGATTCATCATCACTTGTCTTGCCCTTATTCTTCATTTGGTCCCTGGACCACACAGAAATAGTATTTCAACTTTAGATCTATGTTCTCAGTAACAACAACAATGAGGAAGGAAACAGTTAAGAAAGTTTAAATCTGAGAGCAGAAATCCAAAGCACTTTCCAGGAAGATTTCTTAACAAGATTTAGGTCATTACATGGTTTTACATGGTTTTATTGGAAATTCTCTGACAATTCTAGCTACTATTGGCTCTGTCACATGAGGGTCTTGAAGGCCTCAAAATTATTGTGAGGGGCTGGCTAGATGCTTGTCTAGTAGCACCAAATTGGGAACTGATGATAATTAGTTTTCACTCATGGGTGAGCAGGGGAGAGGTTTCTGTTAAGAAACTAAAAACTTTCAAATGTATCATTGGCACAGTACATCAAAAGCCATAGCTAAAGTTAGCTGCAGGAGGAAAAAAAAAATTAATAAGAACTTGACCAAATTGAAGGAAGCTAGAGAACCATAATACTGTAAATCTAACCTAGAGGCCTACAGTGTGAAATCTAGGAGAACTTTCCCAGGAAATTTGTTGTAAACAATGACAAACAAAAGACATGACTCACTCTTTGTAATCTAACACAACTTTTCCCTCAAGAATTTCTTTTTCTAGGAATTCCTCCTGTGACATGGTAGGAACACTTGGGTACCCTGCCCCAAAGACTTTGTTCTGACGGTAAAAGAAGCACTCATTAGCATGAAATTACAACTAAAAGGTCTGAAACAAATACATATTGCAGCTTCAGGTGTGACACCACTTTTTACTCAGCAAGAATGTGAATGACTGGACTGATATCACTTGTAATTATACTCTTTTCATGCTTCACCAGGAATGCACAAAAGGCCATGTGGTTCTTTGATAGCCTTGTCAACCTTGGGGAATGGTTTTCATTGGGCTCTAGGTATTCATCAGAAGGAGGCATATTTCAAAGATTGAAGGTTAGAGGGGAGTGTTCATAGGATGTGCGGAGTTTGATGGAGTGGCAGTAATTAGGTCATTAGCTTAGTTTACATAGTCTTGAATTATCTACCAGCTTTATTAGCAGAGCAAGTGTAGTAAAACATTACTTACCCTAATCATTTCCCTAGTTATCAGAATTGGTTTAAAGCTCTGTTGAGGCTAAAATAAAATTATTTGATACAGTTTAATTGTAGCAACAAGAAGGAAGGGTGATTTTCTCTTCCCACAAATACTGAAGAGCTATGCAAAAGTTATAGTAAAATCTGTGCATGGTACGATTTAATTTTGAATGCTCAAAGTTTTACACCATTTTAATAATCATACAGTTATGTTCATTTGGAAGAACAGCTTCCCTCCAACAAGTGGAGGCTAGCAATAAACAGACAATTGACAGGCCATAAACTGGAATGAAACTAGTTCAGAAAAAGTTGGGCAAGAGATGAACAATAATTTATTTTGGAAGATACTGTTTACCAGTACATCAATTCATCAAATGGCACAACAACAAGAAAAAGGGGAAGTTATAGAACAAACTGAATGCAATCCCTTCTACCCAATTCCCAGCCATGAAGGATGAACAGCCTAATTCAGTTTTTCACTTAAAGCTAAACAAGAAAGCAACAATGGCAGACAAACCTTTGTGGTTACAGGTCTGTCATCTTCTCTGCCTTTTAGTGTCTGCATGTGTTTCAAGATCTCCACTTCACCTGTGAATTTCAAAGAAGTACAAAGGAGAGATCAGCAATACAATAGCAACAGGAACCTGCACACTTCACCCTCAACAAGAGCTAATTTTTCCCACAAAAACACACAAACAAACCTGTAGAAAATGGACACATCTATTGAGCAGGCATGCGTTGGTGAAGGGAATAAAAATGTAAGTATAATTTCTGGTTGCCTACACATGCATTTAATTAAACTTGTATGTTGGCCAAAATTAAGTGTACATCAAATATAATCAAAGAGCTAAATTTCCATTGCCAGAAACACAGTCTAACCTCCACTACTCTTGTCTAAAAACTACCCTGAAACAGTGAGATTAGTGACTCAAGGTATGCAAATACACTTCTTCATATTAATTTCTTAAGTGGGAAAATTTCAAAGAGAACCTAGGCACACATGTTTTCAAGATATGGATGGCAAACAGAAGGCAAGAACAACTCTCTTCCTGCACTTTCACCTCTATCAAAAAACATAGTTCTAAGTACTATTAAAACTAAAGTACTATTATGTGGGAAATAATCCTGTAATGAGAACCAGAAACATTTAAAAAAATGCTTTACTTTGGACTGTAAACTGCCATTCATGGCCCCATTAGGAGCCTGTTTGAGCGGTCAGTTGTTGCATCTGTAAATCAAAAGACTTACTTTGAAGACTTGCTAAATGATCCACAACTTTGTTGATCCAAAACTTTAAGAGTAGAACATAATAACTTCTCTGTGAAATACAAAAAAATTCAAATTAAATATAAGAACCAAACAACACAAAAGAAAGGTAATGTTATAGTGCAGTTTTAATCCCTTAACTGGAAGAAGTGATTATGTTAACTCTCCCTAATAAACATAATTGAACAAGCAGGTAATAAGGACAAAAAAAAGCTAGAATGAGTGATAATTATTTAAGACTTAACCCTTCTACTCCTAAGATCTCATTTAGTAATTTTCCCTAATGTCTACCATACAATTTGTATGATTTTAGTTCTGAGAATTTGGTATTGGATCAACAAACAGTCCCCCAATTGATATTTATCTTTATTTTCATCACCTAATTGACTGCTTGATATTGTATTTGATGTTGTAAGGAGAAATTGGGTCACTTGTGGGAGTTAAGGGGGTTAAAGTGTAATCAGAGCATCATAAATTGTAAATTCAATCACCTGAGTATCTTCATCTGTTACAGGCCTGGATGACTCACCAAGGATATTCTGGAGTTCCTGCAAACATTGATGACCAATTATACTTTATTTCCATAACTAGCAAATGTTAAAAGTTTCACTGTATCACCAAAGAGAAAACACCCATTTCAATAAACTACCATTCCTTTTTCTATTCCATGAGAATACAATTCTTAATAAGCATCTAAATTGCATTGCTTGTTTGAGAGTAAACTGAAAATTCTTATTCAAAAATAATTAAGTATAGTTATTCGCTCCCTAAATACCAAAAGTAACTTGCCTTGTGCCGGAATTTGGCACAGTTTCCCCAGAATTGTATGCAACAGTACTACACAAAAAATACTGAATTCTTAACCTTTATTCTTTTTTCTTGTTCCTTTTGTTCCTTGTATCTTGCTATTTTTTCTTGACGACTGTTTGCCATTTGATTGATACTTTTTTCTTCCACTCTTGGTTCATCTGTTTCTTCATAGTATCTGGAGAGGTCCTTACACAGTGTATACAGGAGAGTTAGTATGATTGTACATACTAAAACTACATGTATTTATTTCCCTATTGTATCAAGGTAAATGACTGATAAAAATGCAGGCTATCTAGTCCTATTGAAACATGGAGGAGGAAGGCAAGTGTCCTAAAAATATGCAAAGCTTTGTGCCAAGACAGAGAGAACTTTTATTTTTAAAAATCATTCCAAGCTTAGTTCAAAGACATATCATAACTAAAAGGCAAACACTGGACAATCTACATCCTTCTCAAAATTTAAAGAGCTCTATTTACAGTCTGAGAAATAAAGTTATGCATTAAGTAAAAATAACTGTAAACATCAAAATGTAACATTATCATGCTTACCATGTCTTTTACTCCATAATTTTTACATCTTTTAAGAAAGTCAATAAAGTAAACCTAAGGCAAGAAAACACAAAGTGCTAAGTTTATTCGTGTAATTTGATCTTCTGAGTGAGAGAAATCCTGAGAAGGACTCTTGTTGGTTGTGATGACTGACATTTTGACAAACTTAATGGGAGTTTTAATCGGGGTCAAGTGAGAAGTTGTTGTCAGTTGAGTGTTATAAATTTGGTTTGTGTAAACTGATCAGTTCATTTTGCCATGATGTTATTTCCTGAGAATCAAGTGGTGTAAGTGGGTTGTGACTGGTCAGTTTTTATCTGTGGGTAATTCTGTTCATTGCAATTGTTGAGCAAAATGTCTTAAATAAGTTGTTTATAGGGCGCTGATAGTAAGTTTCATTACATGGAATGTAATTTGTAGGAAATATTACTTTGTTCTTGAAACAATTACAGATTCATCATATTTATTTGAGAAGATGCAAATCGAAGTAATGGCTACACAGTAATTGTGAAGAAGGAATTTGTCAGCAAGTCTCTCTTTTTTCTTTTTTTTTTTCATAATTCAGTGTATGGTTCATATAAACAGACCTTTGCAATGTTAAGTAAAGTCATTCTATCAGTTTCAATCTTCCTCAGAAACAGGTCACCAAGAAAAGCTGGTAACAATAGATATCTGAGGAAATAAGAATATTAAGGCATTTATTCAACATTGTACACTTGGTAGTAAAATAACAGCAAAATCTTGGTACCACAGGAGGGAATGCACAATTATTACTGAATAAAAATGTCTTGATAATAATTTTTAGTATATACCAAAAGATAAGATGGTATTGAAGGCATGCTCTGATTGGCTATTCAAACTCCAAATATACATTACTATTCCAGCAATTTAATATTCTATTCCAGCAATGAGCACAGGATTTGTGCCCGAAAATATTGTAATCATTGCAGGAAAAAATCAATAAGATTCATCTTTTTTTGTGCTACACTATCACCTCAGTGTTGGTGGCTAGCAGCAGATATATCCACCATTAGCCAATTCCAAATTGGTGAGTAGTAGTTACATGTAATTATCATCCAAGTTAGAGTTAATAACGAATTTATGGTTCAATAGTTTCAAATGCCTTGATTCTATAGAGATAACTGACTCAAACCTCACACTAACTCTAATCACAATCAGTTCCCACTTGCTCTCAGTTATTAACTGTACTGTTCTCAGCTCCTGATGAGTCAAACTCCTACACCACATACAGTCCCCATAACCTTACACTCACCTTAACTCAGAAGTTGGAACCTCAGACAAATCTTCATTTCCACTGAACAAAGCCAAACCATTGACTATTTCTGTGGCACGAACAAAGTGATCTACAGCAGTGCTGACCTTCTTCTACACAGAAAAAATGAATGAAACAGTATCAGTTGATCCATCAAGAACACATGAAATAACTCAATACCACCAGCCTCCACAAAGGAGGAAAATAAAAGTGTCATCTGTGTGATGCAGTACAGTGTAAAAATTTCCTGATTCCTCATAAAGGTTTTTAAAAGCTCCTCATTGTGTTTTGAACCCACTTGTTTTCCCTTTTTAAAACATGAGACAAAATTCAATAAATTTAATAAAATTAGCGTTTAAGGATACCTCTCTGGGGAACTTTCTCACACATCTGAAAACAACTTCTCAGATCTATTGATCACAATGTTAACTACTAAAAGTTTCAAATACTGAGTAGGTTGTAACCTTCTAAGGTTAAAAATTACAGCTTTGTCGTTGAGGGTACCTCCTGGGCATTTCACTGCACACCTTTTTCCTTGTGGATATGCGAGGCATATGAAGTAGTGGTACAGAGATTCAATATGCAAATTTTGTTGCATTAACCTTTTAACTCCCAGAAGTGACTTGTAACTTCTCCCTATAACATCCTTACATTATCCAACGAACAGGTATTGAGAATATTCAGACTTTTCAGGAAGAGGTTTTTATCTTGATCTAACACCAAATTTAACAAGGAAATTAGTACCAGCTAGAGGGGAGAATTAACATTCAGATCCCAGGAGTTGAAGGGTTAACATATCATAGGCAAAGTATTCTTTACTATTGCAGTATAAGTAATATATCAAAATGAATAAAGCTACTGTCAGGGGGATATCAATTTAATTATTTTCTTCATTCGGTCTACTAACCGAGTGGGCTACCCTAACCCCCTTCAGTTGCCAATGGCTCGATTCTGTTTCTTGAGAACACAGTACCATTGAATTCTAGTATAATCAGTATATATTCTTGTCATATTCTGCACAATATATCTACGAGTTCATCATAGTGTCACTTTGATTGTAGCCCTGTACTTAATTTTAATAACGTCCACGATTTCATTCCGCAACGCACAAAATTGAAAATCCAAACAAACGTAGTATGTAAAAATACACTAATCATACAACTCAGAATGAATGTAAAAAAAATACCTGAAATATCTCCGAGGTGCTCGATCCATTGTCATCTTCTATCTCACAATGTAAAACAAACCCTTGTTCAAAAATGTCTCCAAGAGATAGGGCCTTAGAACTTTCGGCAGCCGCCATAAGTCACCAACAGGGACAAAATATATGGAGTTACATGAGTGGAACTTTGTGGCGAGGGTTAACCACTGATAAGAAAATGTGCGGTCTCATAACATCTGGAACTAACTAAAAAGGTAGCCTACGCCAAGGTAAAACGGAGGCGAGGTTCCCTTGCTTTCGTTTCACCTTGTGGGGGAGGGTACGGCTACACATAGGCTACTGAAATAGTAAATGGAGTGTCAAGTCCGGTTGGTCATGACTTCCCAGCGGTTGCAAGTTTTTCGAGGAATACTGAGGGAGTTGCGACATCTTTTGCCATTTAAGGTAATTTAAAAAAAAAAAAAAAAAGGGCTGTATTGAATAGGAAATCTGAAAAACCTGTTAATTCTTGCGCGAAACGCGAGTACTATCGTCCCAAGGGCCACTAGCCCCCATGTTCTCCCGTGCATCACATGTGCTTGCATGAGTAAGCTTAGTTTTAACATGAAGCTAGAGAGAATCAAGGAGAAAAGTAGAAGCGATGTGATGCCATGAAATCCAAGGTGCTGCGTGCGTTTTGGCCCTTATATTCATGTAAGTTGTTTCAATTTTAAAAAAAATTAACTTAGTGCACTTAGCTGCAAGCCTTTGAACAGCTTCAAAATTCTTCAACTAGTTTAAATTCACTGTAAAATTTCTCTTCCAGATGTAGATGATATGTGAAACAATTTTTTAATTATTTCAATACTCCTTAAACAGGCGATGGTTGCCACCCCTGTTTCCTTGAACTCAAGCTAGAGTATCAATTACTCCCCTCACCCCATCTCTGTGTTTCGGGCGTTCCCCCAGAAAGAGAAAGGGAAGGGAGGGGATGGGGGTTGGTGGGATTCTTAAATATCACATTTCCTCCCTTGAGATAGTAATAGACCCTAGGATTGTCAAAACATAACCAATTTTCTAAAATTGCTTAGAGTTGTTGGCATGTGTCTATAAACAAAATACCAAAATCTATACAAATTAGAAATTGAGATGATTCATGTACTGCATTTTGACACAAAAATGCTGAATACTCACACCTCAGTTGAAAAATGCATAAATACCTGAATCCCGGAGCCCTTGGCTGAGCCTGAAAAATTCAGATGTATGATTTGCTGGAGTCTGAAGTGGTTTTCAATAATTGAATTTGCTGGACTTGTGCAACCAACATACATTAGGGCAGTGAGAGTGACGAACTCACATGAATGGGATTTGAAGATTCATTTTCTGCATTGAGAGGAGAGCAGGGTGCAAGTCATATGCTAGATGTTTATTTTAATGACCTGAAGGCTTATCCTCATCAAAATTGTTTTTAGGTTAAAAATAATTGAAATCTTATGCCTGCAGCTCATATTGCATAGTCTTTAAGAAATGCCTCTTAAAAATACTTTCCATTTTGCCCTTTTAAATTTAAGTTTTAAAGGCTGATGTATGAAAGCCAGGAGTGTAGATATTAATTCATTATTTAACTAGTGATTCCTTTTCATGTTAATTCCTATTCAAATAGGAACCTGTTACTTCAAGTTTGGAAGGCCAGTATCTGATAACAGAGTTTCATAATTATTCCCAGGCTGGAGAAGCTTTAGCACAGAAGCTCTACTTTGATTGTGTGTATTATCTTTGCTTACTTAGAAGTCAAAGAATGGCTCAGGTGAGTTTTATTTCATTTTCATCATAATTATGTAAAATTTGTTTAAAGTTTAAACTACTGTAGTTGATGTCTCCTTTGTTCTTTAATCAAAAGAAAGAAAGTAGAAACCAAACTAGTTTGAAATCACTCTGACCTGAAATAACTCAATCAAGGAAGTCATTAGTAAAGTTTGTAAAATAGCTGAGAAACTACAGCATATCATTCATTACACTGGTAAACCCACAGAAATTTGAATTTGTCATATAAAAGCAATAGACCAGTCTTTCTATCAGTTTACTGGCATATAGTAATATTGGGAGAACACAAGAAAAGTTTGTAGAACACTTGGCTGGGGCTTATGATGTACATACTTTTTTGTGTTCTGGCAATCCAACATCAAACATGGATTATGACACCAGTGAACTGAAAGAAAGTGCCCTCTATTGCTCAACTGTATACCTGCATTTTGTGATAAATAAATGGTTGATGGTTGTTACATAATCTGTTACAGATGCTTCATGAAAAATACAAGGGGGTGGGGGAGAGGCCAGTGGAAGAAGTGGCAAGCTTAGTGGGTTTTAAGCTTCCAAAGCAATATCGAGAACCTTCAAATGATTCAAATGAAAAATGATATTATTGGTTTGCATGTGGCAAGGATTCAAGACAAGTGCTGGTGTGATAGGAGGGCATACCACATACACACTGGTGTGGTACAGTTAGAGTGGAGGTGGATTCAATGTATAAAAGAGGATTGACTATAGATTGTGGAAGCTTTTGGTGAAAGTACCAGTAACAATTGTTTGCATGATGAAAATCGCTGTGGCACTTCAACTGAAGTATTGAAAACATTTAGTACTGAAACCACTAACTTCTAGGCCACTAGGTATCTAAGCTCTCAAGAAGACCTGCAATATGTAGGAGAAGTATGCTTCAAAAAATTAGGCAACTTTTATATCAACCATTACAAAGTATTATCACATGACTTTATAAAATTGGCCACATTCTTAGATTTGTAGAGTAACTTAACATTTCAAAACCTGTCTCCACTTTTGCCCAATATTGGACTTCCATGCTGCCTTTTGTATCCCTCCTTTTTTCCCCATCCTTAGGCAATCTGTTTGAACTATCAGGAGCAGCTACAGAAATAACAAAATGTTCCTTTATCTAATAACCAGTGCAGCTGTGGTTTGTGAATTAAATAGGGTCTTGTTTCCCATTTTTTGAAATGGGGCTGTCCATTGTCAAATTCTCAGCACCTTGGAAAACAATTTTGGAACAATCAGGCTACTTTTTGGGATCTCAAATGTAGTGCACATTGAATATCTATACTTTTTTTAAGGGCCAAGATGAAAATTACCAGTTGAACACACCTCTCCTTTAACCCTTTCTTTTTTAACTGATTGAAGTAATGGAGTGGAAGCTGGACACAGAAATGTGGTAACACATTGTTTTGAAATGGAGTCTTTGCATTTCCAGTGTAATAGTCTTCAAAATTAGGGTTCAAAGGTTCCTGTATTGAACAATCATCTAGAAATACTTTGTAAGATAGTCAAAACCCTGGTAACCCCTTCTTTTACCCCAAAAAGAATTATGTTTCTCTGAATAATATCACCCACACTTATTTGAGTTAGTTTAAAACCTTTATTTTAACTCAAGCTTTCCTGGTGTTACAAAAAGCATACCTCTACATCATAACAATAATTATTACTGCTCATCAGGCACGTTGTAATTGACCATTGGAATAAAAAGGCAACATGCTGATATGCTGTTAATTATCAACTTCTATTAATACCTAGCTGGAAAACTATTAGAATTAAATTTTGCGTAACAAGACTTAAATTTTACTGCTTCAGCTCTATACTTAGTTAGCAACTTATTTAATAATTACAATGACTAACCAATCTCATCCTGACCAGCAAACCTATGGTGCTTGAAGCACAACAAAATCAGGTGAGAATTACAAAATAATTCTCCCATATCTCTGGAACATAAATTCCATTCAAAAAAATCATTTAAATTGATTCTCTACACAATAAGCTACCAGCACTTATTTTCAATATTTTGTTCTACTTGTGGAAGTAGTTTCTACAAAGAATCACAAGTGAAATGAGACTTTTAAAGCATAATTGATTACCAGCTACTTTACAACTTGTCTCAATACTTAATTAACCCTTTAACTTCCAGAAGTGATTGTCAAGTAACTTCTCCTTATAATATCCATACATTATCCACCAAACAGGTAATGGTAATTCACAAAATTATCAGTCAAAAGTTATCTTCATCTAACAGAGTTGTGACAGCTAGAGGAGAGAATTGACCATCAGATCTTTAGAGTTAAAAAGTAATTTGATCACATTTTCTACAATTTCATTTCTTTGAAGTACACGAGAACCTGGCCTCTGGCAACACCTTGGGAATAGTAAACAGGTGACAGGCAAACAACCACATGAATTTAAAAAGGAACTGACAAGACAATGTAACAGTTAGAATTCCAATAACTACATGTGGACAATTAAATCTACATGTACATAATCAAGGTGTGAAATGAATGGCTTTCAAATTATATCTATCTGGCTGATTAAAACTTATACTGAATTGCATGCATCTACTTGAACCTCGGAAAGGACTTCTTCCTAAGTAAATGTTTATCCAGATCTTAGATGAATGATTACCTGCCAAAGCTAAAACAGCTATATTAAGAACAAATTACACTTACTTCCCAAAAGGTATCGTTAAAATGTAAAGAGACCTACACCAAATTAATCAAAAATAGCCAATTAGAATAAATTAGAAAGATCCAAAGAGAATTCGAAGTTCCCACGAGGTTAGCAAATACTAGCCAAGATCTACTTCAGAAATATGAAGCTGTACATGTTGAGAGCAAGAAATGCATCATTCCTGGGTGAACCTTACAGTAGACACTGGACACTTTCTCCCACAAACTTGGTCATGAAACAAATACAGCAACAATTTTTTTAATTCTTGGGTCATAGAAAATTAAGAATATACATCTATTTAAGGATATGAGCAAACTTGTTTTCCACTGATCTACAGCTTCTAAAACAGCGAACACCTTGGTTCCCTGCAAAGGGTTGTCTTCAAGTCACTTTAACTAACTAGTGTGTTTTTACTGCACCCTATCATAAAAAACCAGCAGACTTGTCAGACTTAAACTGTTTCAAGTCAAGAATTGAGTGTCTCATTCAACTTTGAGATTCAGTCAAAGGTACATTAGAGACTGTCTCATATGTGGCTACTCCATTACTGATTAGTGCTGGCTCAATGAGTTGTGTGTTTTCTGGTACAGTGTTCCGTGTTCCAGACACTGAATGAACAATACTATTATCATGCACTTGGGCAAAGCTCACATCAGTAGTAGAAACTGTAGGGCGAGAACTTTTCACTGGGCTTCCCTCAGAAGTCAAACACACCAAGGCTTTTACGCGGTCTTCTGTGAAAGAGAACTGACCAACTGGCATGTTGGTAAAATCTAGTTTTGTTGGTTCTTTCTCAATGCTCTGGTCTTCTTGTTTCTTAGCATCAAGCTCTGCTTTAAGTGAGAGATTAGGGCGGCCTTTTCCAGAGGCCATTCGCTTCATCATTTGCTTTCGGTTGCAGAACCAGACTCTAACAGTAACTGGCTCAAGGCCCAACTTAGAGGAAATTTCAATAATTTCTGCACTGCTAGGCTTTGGATTCTGTTCAAATGCATGAATCAAATACTGAAGAGTTTCATTTGAGAAAGAAGTTCTTCTTTTGCGCTTCTTGCACATTCTCAACCCTTTGGCACACTCCTGTTCTTTTTGCTCAATCCAGCCTTGCAAAACTGGCTTCATTTTTTCTGCAGCCTTCAGACCAAGGTTTTTAGATTCAAATCTTGAAATAAATGACTGACTGTAAGAGGAATGTCCATTGCTGTGGGACAGCTCATTACCCACATCTTCCTGAGTGTATCCCAGAGCAATCCGCCGTGCCCGGAAGGACTCAATGAAGGCTTTCATGTCAGCTGTTAAGCAACTATCAGATAGCGTGCCAAAGATCTGTGCTGAGGAATTTGGTGAATCTGACAACTCCTCAACTGATGTCTGGCTCACTTCTTGTGAAGGAGGTGGTTCCTGGGCTTTCACCACTTGAATTTGTGTAACCACCGGTGCCGGAAGAGTAAGTGAGGAGGTTGGAATAGTGTAAGTCGAGTACCCAGAAATTACACCTCCATTTTGAGAAACAGGAAGAGCTTGTATCTGGCTTGTGACAAAATGGCCCACCTAAGCAAATGGCAAAAACACTGAGTTTCAAACCAGATACAGAAACCATACCAAATAAACACACAAAATACAGATCTAGTTCCTAGTCTTTGGTTAAAAAAAAATGCTTCAAATCAGTTTAACTTGTAATTCTTCTCAGTCTTCTATCATATAAGAGAACTTGAAATAACATGTCACCAATTTAATGGCTTGGCTTAAATCTGAATTCAAACTACACATACAGCTTGTACACCATAAAACTTCTTCTCAGCTAAGGAAGTGGCAAGTGGCTTACCAGTTTAAATGGCCAGAAAGCTTAAAAAGATTCATACACAATGACATTGTGATTCTTTTTACTACATTTAGATTATTATTTTTGATATAGTTTTTTTTAATATTCATAAATCTTATGATAAAAAAAAGAGAATCCTTGCATAGGTAGAGTTCATTACACTCAATTGCAAAAAATACTGACACCTCAAGAGCGTGATCCATGAACAATGAGACCCAATGCCTTTGTGAGAAATATTCACACTCGTATATAACCAGTGACTCACTCTTGTTATTCATGGAAAATCATTTCTTTCAGGAAAGCTTGGATAGCTTTCATCATTCCCTGTGTGTAACCAATGGTGGAAATCATGTACATCTAACCCATAAAGCCGTACAGGATCACTATTACTATCATTATTTATTGTAAAACTTTTAAGGTGTTGACATTTTTGCAATCAAGTGTATATTGTTGTATAGTGACTTGCCACACATACTCACCTGCATACTCGACTGTATCGACTGGTTGGTATTCTGACAAAGTTGTTCAGAGCCCATAACTGACCTTGTGTTACCTATATTAATAATAGATGGTGCCTTGTTACAGTTAAAAGTAAGTATTTAAAAGTTATTTTTAACAATACTAAGAGCAACAACCACCTACTTTCTTTTTAAAGGGATCTCCATTTATGACTCCATTTAACATATCTCTTAGTGCCTGCATTATGTTAAGCAGGCTGTTTTCCCTGTTTTAACCCACAGATTTAAAAAATATCTCACCGACCTTGTTTTCTTAATCCACACAGTGTTACAGAACTTCATTTTTTTTTGCTCAAATTTATGGTTTCCCGCTTGGGCCATAAATCTGCCCAGAAAAACTTGGTCCATAACTTACAGTACAAACCAAGAAAATGAGTAAGAGGTATTTATTAGTCTTGACTCACAGGGTTACTCAATTTTTGAGAAACATCAATCATCATTAGCATTATTGTCGTTATTATCATGAGCATTATTGTTAATGTTACCGTTACCATTATCATTTGAAGGTTATTAATTTCAGAAGAGAGTATTTTGCCACAATGATGACTAGTGAAACACTGAGTATACTTGATTATCTATTTTAGAAAAATTTTAAAAGCTGATGATTTAAGCATTATCCATGGTTACAGTACATGATGCTGACTGCAAGTCATAAACCCCACAATGGTTCATTAAAGAGAAAAAGTTGTGCCATAAATTCAAAACATTGCATTTTTTCCCCTAAACACAAGTCCAAGATTGCCCCCCCCCCAAAAAAAAAAAAAAACAAAAACAAAAAAAACTCAACAGCTCTTGGACTATAATGGTGTGTACCTTAGACTTTTTTATAGACTTTTCAGGCTACCTTATTTTCACTTTTTATACTAATTGCACTTCACCATGTTAATTAAATTAATGAGACAGTTATTTAACCAAAGTTTAACCATTGTCAACAAAACTGCGTTATAAACAATCTTGAATTTAGCTTAATCTTTTATCAGAAAATTTATTTTTGCAAACAGTTTCAAGAGGGCTGAAAGCTAGCAGTTAAAGGATATATATTTAATGAAAACAACCCTCTTACAGAGAATCCCAGAGGCCCACTGCTTGCGGGAAACCGCGGTTTGGGTTAGACCTTGTGTAAATAACCAGCCCAATGTGTTTCTTGAGATGAAATATCAGGTTATAAAGGGCTTTCACTGATAACAATCATAAATCCGAAATTATTACCTGTTTAGACAAAGAATCATTTATGTAATTTTGACAATATAGACAGTGCATACAAGTGATAGTGCACTCTTAGTGCAGTTGAAATTTAATTTAAAAAATTATCAGTGCTTATGCCAACCAATAAATGCAATGTGGGTTTGTCTGCTAAGGCTGTGTGAAAGGAGACAGTGTAAGGCAACACTGCTGCTAGTTGTGAGAAATAACAACACCACACAAAGGAAAACTCCTTCTTTTGCTGATTCAGTAAATGTTCTTGTTTTTATTTAAAGCACTCCCTCCAAGTATCCAGCAATGCATTATTAACTTTGTTTGAGCCTTTTAATTCCTACACTGAAAAAAACTACATTTTTAAGCATGCTGAATTAGCCTTCAATTCTTAAAAGGAACACAAACTCTATGTTAATTGCCAATGTTACAGCAATAAAAGTAAATAAACCACACTTGTAAATTTTGAAAAGGTGATTGGAGCTGTCAGGTTGATTAACCTCCAAAACCTAAACTTGTAAATTTATCTTTACCGACTTCAAGTTCTCAACCAACTTTTGTCCTTTCTTTGGAAAGTACTTGACAAATAAGTGAATCACACTTGACAACATCACGGCCAAAAGTTCTGGACTCTTCTTACTTTAAGAGTGCTTACCATCTAAGGACACTCACAAATCAGAGCTAGATGTAACTCACCAAGTTGGATTTTTTGGTAAGTGCATTAAACTGTTAAGCAGAACTGACAGACCAGATTATTCATTTATGGCTAATGTGATAAGATAATGATATATTAGCATGTTTTGTTTTAAGAGCTGGCATTCTAAAGATTTTGTAGGCTGCCCTGCCTCTTTCTCTGTGGAGGTTAGCCAGTTTGCTATTAGTTAAAAAATTAAGCTGAGAATAAAGAAAATGAGAGAGATTATTTGAGCAATAATTTTCCTCTTCACAACTTAGGGAAGACTTCAAAAGAGGATATGGCTGAATTTTCAGAGAACCCAATCTGGCCAGTCAGTTTTGAGTAAAGGCACATGCCACATGCCATAAGCAAATTACTGTAGATTAATCAGGCTGTTCCTCAAGTGCATTAAATAGTTGTCCCAGTGTTAATTCATTATGTGAGATGTTTTAATATTCAAAGATACCACAAAGTTACTAGACTGGTGAAAGTGCAAGCTTATAACCAAAATGTTATGTACCTTGCATCACAACAGAAGTATAGAAGTGCTGGTGCATTTTCTTAAGATCAGCAACAATCTTTTCCTCAATTTCTCTACCAGCCTCTAATTCAGAATCTGACATCCATATAGCTGTCTCTTGAGTAGGAGTGATCATCACAACTGTCTTCTTGCGAGTTTGTAGGATGTTTGATACCACCACCTAGAGCAAATTTAGGAATTGGTATATATATCTAATTACACAATTTGGTGTGTAGTATCCCTAATTATTTTTATAAGTTGTGCTGAATTTTGAAGAGCCGTCAGGGAAAGTCAAAATGCATATGTAACCATTCAAAATACTAAGCAGTACTACACACCAAAACATCTGGTAAGTTATTTATTATCCAACTGCTTTATTTTATGCACATTTCCCATCAGGCCTGAAAACTAAGGCAGATAGCTGAGCATAGCATATGCAGCCAACCAGTCAAACAGGTTTTTTTCCAGTACAAAATGACCAACTGTCCAAGTATTGCATGATATTTGTACTCAACTTGAGTGTTATTTGTACTCTACTCTGTGCAGTTCAATAATGATGATTAAATTTAGTCCAATATACTAAGAAATAACTAGTGATCAGTCATGTATAATTGATTCATCTTTCTCTTCCTTTACAGATTTGGATATTGCTGTAGATTTTGAGGACTTTTTTATTACTTTCTTGTATTACATTCTTGTGAGAATACCCTACAAGTATGAAAGTATTCTCAATAGAGATCCATGGGAAATGTCTCACATGCTACAAAAACAAGGTAAAGTAGAGTTGATCATAGGAACTTAATCCATAATGGCTGCTAAATGGTCACTTGCTACTTCACAGCCTCCTACTCAACCAAATTCTTAAGTAAATGTAAATCAGTAGAGGTAATGGGTCAATCAATTCAAAGCTTCAACACTGCTCCCCTACACAAACATTTGAACTCTTGGATACTGGACTCAAATTCCAAAAATGCACTACCCAAGTGCCAAAGTGCTGCTTAATGGTCAAGTGCTATTTACAGTGTACCTCACAGTCTACACCTCCACCAAATTCTTATGTAAAAGTGAACCAGTAGAAGTAATGGTTTGACCAATTTCAAGCTTGAACATTGCCCCCTACCCAGACATTGGAACTTTTGAAGATTGGTTCATTCAACTTCCAACCCCCTAAGGAACCAAAAGTGTTTTTACATGCCTTACCCAAGTGCCAAATTTGATGGTTAAAGGGCAAAATAAGGGACAGTGACTTTCTATTCTTTGACCATGCTTTAAACCTAAACCATGTAGACCTTTCCTTCCAATCCATTCATTCATAGAAGTGAACTCCTTACCTTTAAACATCTCTATATTAAAAGACATAAATTATATTAAGATATATTCAACTTCTTGACCCCAACCAGGCAAGGTTCAAATTCCCCACTCCTCAGGCACAAATGACAGAAATGCCCCTTGGTTGCTTGGGGAGTGAATTGATTGGCACATAATCAACAAGTAGGGAACAGAAAATATAAAAAAATTACCTGATGTGAGTACTTGGCTAAAGCCTCGCGTGCCTTCTTAGAGATAATGTTCATGTCGGTCTCCAACTATACACCAAAGAGGAGTTTATGTCAACATTTTAATTAATTGAGGCTGGCAGTCTTGGTAGTTATGATATAGCAAAGTGAAGAAAATCAATGTTCAGCATCAAATAGATTGTGTATATCTTTTCCTGAGGTGTCACCACAAAGGACATAATTAAAAGCAATTAAAAGTAAACTCAAACATCTTTAATAAAAATAAATTAAAGCCATATGCCTTAACCCTCTCCTCCCAGGAGTGACCATGAGAGAATTTCTCCTTTTTTTCCCCATGTCAATAAAATAATTGCAGAAGGTAATGAGCATTTATAGTAATATAAACCTGGGGTTATATTTGGAATGATTTAAAACCAAATTCTTAATAACGTTATCTCAAAAAATGCATGGTAGATGGTAAGGAGAATCAATGTTAATTTGACCTTATGAATGAAAGGGTTCCATCATCAAACAGTAAACCACTGGAAAAGTTGATCTCAAAGCAGCAATGAATAGTGATACTAAGTAATTCTTTAATTTTATAAGATTTCCTTGCCTTAAATGAGACAGTAAATGCCTGTGGTATCCATTCTTTCACAAGAGGTGCCATCATTTTAGGGGACTGCACCAAGTTAAGCTGCAGAGGAGCATTTGATTGAATCTTGTGTTTTGGCTGTACAAATAATACATCAAGAGAATGTCAATTAATTTTTCAGCATTCAAGAAGATTTATGACATGTTATAACATTATGCTTGTTCACATGGCTTAACATTTAACCATCTAAAGCAAAAAAGCTCAGTGTTAGAATGTTACAAACAATAATCTGAAGAATATAGGAAGTCAAATAGAAAAACTAGTCTTCCATATTGTTACAACACATTGGTAAGGGACAAAATGTCTTTATGTTGCTTGGTGGTCATCATTATTCTGTAGTATTACCTAAATGTATCAAAGTATTTTGACTTGGTTTATCAAAGAAATTACACTTGTCCCTGTACATGCATTTTTTTTTTCAAAGCCACATATTTTCATCATATATCATAGTCTTAAATAAGCACCCAAGCTCCAATAAGCACCCTCCGCTGAATAAGTGCCCAATCCCTAAGCCATTATGTCAATCAAGCAAACCCTTGAATAAGCACTCTCTTCCCACCCAACTCTGTCCTTCCTCACTTTCTTACAGAGTAGGATTACAAGGAAAATCTGTTTCTATTGCCACTTTATTTAAAACTTTTAAGCTTCAACTGGCACAGAATCAGTACATGTTAATAGTTTTTAGTATGTGCCCCTCCTTTTAAGCAATAGAAAGTTTTAAATAAGTGCCTCATAGATTATTAAAGGAAATATGGTAAATAATAAAGAAGAGAAGTCTTACTAAATCTTGAGGAGGGATGTAAAAGTCAGAGACTGCAGCTGCTAAGTACATCATAACTGCAGGTCCATGAGGAGCTAGAGACTCAGCCACACTCCTCAAAAGAAACAAGTACTCTGACAAACTATTGTACTCAATCAACAACAATGTGCCAGCAGTTTGTACCTGAAACACAACAAAGCTCAAACAATCATCAAAATAACTAAAGGTCCTGTAACTTTCAATTTAATATTTTCCAATATAAGGGCTAATTAATAATTTGATTGAATCCTTAATCACAGCTGCCACCAGTTGTTTGAAGTCACCCTAGATATAGAACTCCATTCTAGTTATAGCTCAAAGTATCTCCTGATAAATCACCACTTTGGTATAGAGAAGACTTCAGCAATATCAACTAGTGGATCCTGCCCTCTTGCCTATTTTTTCCTGTTGGCCCTGAAATCTCTCCTCAACCCACAAGCACACCTACCACAAGATCACAAGTTATCTGGAGAACATTAAACATCTCTACTAAAAATGTAAACAATCAACCATAATTTGATAAAGTTCCCACACAAGCAAGAAAAACAGAAATGACTACCATAATTTCCAACTGTTTACCCACATAGCCGTTTACCTGCACCAGCCGATTATTGCATACGGCAAAAATAAAAAGTCAACAGATGACCCGCACTGGTGGATAACCCGCATGTTATGTTATTGAACTTTTTGGTGGCAAAAACGTGAAATTAAGGCGATACAATTCAGTCTTTTAAAAGTTGTCTAATCTAACTTTCGAAAGCTTTAAAGCTTCCTTGTCAAGTTTAAAGTTCAAAGAAATTCAGACACATGCACAATTCTTCAATTTTAGCATGTTCTTTATTGATAAAATTATAAAGTAAAAACACTAGCAGCCCATGCCCAAATCTCAAAGTTTCATACTTGACAGAATGCAAATTTGTGGCCACATTTTGTGCGAGCGATCGTTCAGCACCATGTTGATTTGTTGAAAGAAAGCCAGGTTGGCGATTTCTAAAAAAAATAGAGATCTCCAGTTCTATTGAGCCTAACAAGTCCCTTAAAATGGGAAAATTCTCTTTAGCTCAAGCTAGTGTTAAATGGAAATTTGTTACTGATGTACCGGATATCTTTGGATTATTTTTGTCACCATCAAGGTTTTGTTTTCACGCATGCCGATAATAATTTGTTCATCACACAACTAATTATGCGTGAAATAAACCCGAGTTGGCATCATGTTTTCATGCTGCTTTGTGGCACTCTTAATACAATAAAATTAATTTGAGAGGTGGAAACGCATGTAGGTGAGAATTTTTTTCAATTCAACTACCAGTAGGTTTTAAAATTGCCACATAACCTGCACCTCCCTATTACCTGAAGTGGCGCGTGTTAAATGCAAAATCAACAGATTACCCACGGGTAAACAGCCGGAAATTATGGTACATCGAGTTCAGATTAAATGGTAAGCCTTCCACATGAAATGAATAGAAGAGATTACAAAGTTTTCTTTCATGGTTGGACTTGTAATGTATGGCTTAATATGGCTTTCATTTCAAAGGTGCCTATCAGAAAATTGCATTAAAAAGTCATATGAAGAAACTTAGTGAAAGCAGCACTCAAAAAAGACAAGTGCCTCTTTTCAAAACACATTTTTATTCCTAGCATAAATTTTATCAGTAAGTTAAGAATCTGAGTATTGGACTCCATTTGCCTAGCTTGTATCCAAATGCAAAATTGAATGTAAGCCAGAAAAATCTGTTAATCCTATATTTAAAATGCTCACTTCTGAAGAGTTTTCCTGAAGTGGGGAGGGGGTTGGGGGGGGATGTTTCTATTCAGGACTCATAAGAACATATCATGTCTCAAAAGGCAAACCAGAGGGACTTGCACACAAACAGTTCCCACCAAAGAGCCCCATTATATACTATTAATGATATCTTCCAACACAACATCAGCATTCTAGGGGTATCAAAATGTAATGCATACCTGTCTGTAAATTTTCAGAACTTGGGTCAATTTTGGCACTTTGCTTGCATTCACTAGAGATAAAAAAAAAATAATAGGAAGAAAACTGAAAATAGTCAAATTTGATACCTGGCAACCAAGTCTCTGATTATCTCTAGAAAATAAGTTTTCCAACAAAAAAAAAAAAAATCCAAAAATAACCAACCTTGAACTTGAGTAGATCCATCAGGCATGTCTTTGAGTTGTAACAGATCAAGAACATCTTCAGTTGGGTAGTGCCTTGTGAAAGGCCGTAATGATCCCTGCCTGTGTAGAAATACCACAGCATAACCTTGCTCTAGAAAATACCTTAAGGATTAACGGTCAAGGAATCAACAAATGATGAACATTATTTCATCCTTATGTTTTGGCAACCAAAAAAAAAAAAAGGAAAAGTCTGAGCACCTGATAAATCTATGGAGCTCTAAATTTGTAACCTCTAGAGCCTTTTACAGACTTTGATCACTCACTCAGTTTCATTCACTAGGATTGGCCAGTTTGCCTGTTCAAGCAAATTCACCTGTAAAGTCAGCAGTATTCTGTAAGTACTGTAAATAAGCTCTCAGAAATGTGTGGTGGAAACAAGATCTTTTTTAAACACAATACATCATTAAGTTGCAATTTCTAAACACAGACGAATCACCCATCAAGACAGCTTCATACATATAGCTTCTTATCAAGGATACTCAGCAGAAGCAGATCCTCTGGTTCCCATGCTGAAGTTATCAAGAAAACGAACAGCATTTTCCTCCAGTGGTACACGAGTGCCTCCAGACTATCAAGAACAATAGTTACAATCAAATGAGAAACTGCTCACTCACCTCAGCCTAAAAAATGAAGAAGCCTGGAGGAATTTTTTTAAGGGGCAGTCACTACCCATCAAACCCAAGATACCAACTCCACTGTCTCAACAACAACCTCTGTGTTTTACTGAAAAGGACATTTTGTCAGATAAGCACTTAGTGATTCACAACAAGTAGAATCTTCTGATTTACACTTTTTTTGCCTCCTGAATTATAAGGTTTGTAAGTGGTTGAATAAAAACTTCATCTTATCAAGGGGGGGTGGGGATGGACACCCCAAAATCCCCCTTCCTCCAGTTCCATACCATGGTTAAGTTTTTAGCACAAAAGATTCTTTGGAATCTCAAAATACCTTGTGTAATAAACTTATATGTTAAAAGCTATCTATATCTTTAATACAATATCACACCTGAATCTCACATAAAGGTCACAAGAATAAAGGTAATACTCATTAATTAAATGAACTCTTCATTGTTACAGAAATTCTCCTTGTTAGCAACTTAGGAAATGTATGGAGAACAGTATGGAGAATATGCTAATTGATGTGATGGATGGTTATCTCAGAAGCTGACACATGTTCAAACAGCATGAAACTCTTTAAGAAATTAGCATAGCTCCCTTTCTATTACAAAGTTAAGTTAAATAAGAGAACTTTAGTCTTTAAGCGTTTACAAGGATGCTGTCCTGCTTATATGTATCATCTACTCAAATTTAGTGCACTCAGTCTGAATGCCATTTAACCTGACCCAAGCAGCATATTTTATTTTATCTCACTTTCAGCTTGCATTCTTATAGACCTGTTAACCAGTTTTATAATCCTAAAATACATTTTAATTCTAATTACTGTACTTTTAGGATCAAGGGCCACTAGTTCATCAGTTGAATTACTGTTGTGTGTTACACTCCTTAGACAAAGTTGTTATTATAATGATTATTATTATTATCATGGTGTAAAGGGTAACTGACAGAAATAAAAATTGGATGGTTTCTGGAGCATACCTCTCCTTCAAAAGGCTACAGTGTATGAGCTGTCAACCATTCTATGGATGGATAAAGCACACTATGGTTTTATGACATTCCTTACTTTCATTTGTCATAAAAAAAGTCAAATCTCCTCCTTATGGTTATTTAACAATAACGATTTGTGTCCAGGGAATTTAGTCTGTTGCCACAAAGAGAAATGACAAAATTCCAAGTTGATACTATTTTAATTTTTTGCACCAAAATAATTGGGATTGCGATCGACGTATGACTGAATATTCATAAGAGCACAATACACAGATTGGAATAATCCGTTCTGCTAAGCTGAAAATTTGATTTCGTATCTGCACTACTCTGATTTAGTGTCCCCGTTTTCTAGTCACAAGTGTAAGTTTGCGCACCAAAATTCCAGATATTTTAATCAGAGAATTATGAATACTTTATGGATAAAACATTATGTAAATGTATCATTTTCATTATAATCGTATAGCGTAGCTCGCATCTGAGAACAAACAGAAATTCACACAAGCGGAACCAAGAGTAGATGCAAATATACTCCACTCTCGGGGATTAAAATAATCTAGGCAAGGTTACGCTCAAATACACACAAACAAACCGATGTTATTTCCAAAATTTAAATACCCCAAAAACTGCGGGATTAATTCCCAATATCAAAACATAAACACTTCTCTCAAGATGTTGTCGAACTTCGAGAAAATTACTGCGCACAAACATTAACAATTAAAATCATAAGGTCGCTGTTGAAACGCTCAACTGATCACGACTAGCTTTCGTGCATTTCGCAGCAAAAGCTCGACACCTCTCAAAATGACAATTCTGCTTAAAGCAACTCGATTAATTCTAAATTTTGGAAGTAAAAATGAATTTTAGTAACATTATTATGTCATAATATATACTATTTCTTGCATGTTTTAATCGTAATGTCAGATTAAGGAGTGTATGTGCATATGCATGGATTTCCGGCCCGAGTAGTTTTCTTCTTAAAATATCTGTGAAAGCTATAGACTAACAACTCACCGTCACAAACACTATTTCTTTTCCAGCTGCCCGATGTTTACCTGCAAATTCACAGACAGATGCCCTCACTTCTTTCAGGTTTCCAGGAGGTGTGTGTCGAGAGAAATATTCAACCCAATCCGCCATGATTCATGAATTATCCCTCATTACATATTCCGCTTTGATTTTTGAGAAAACTGTGTTCTCTTCGCTTCAAGAAGAAAACCTTTCACTTCTGTTTGTCCATATACGTCATTGAAACGATTGAAATCGATGGAAACACATTTTCATCCCAAAATACCGACTATTTCAACTACAATTTGACACAGAAAGTCGCGAAGGAGGAGAAATAATTTGCGAGCAGCGCATAAATTATTACATACGGATGGCATAGTAGCCAATCAGAGAGCTGTATTTGAAACCAATTGTCTGCACTACGTGACAGGAAAGCAGAACAGTAAACAAAACTTAACTTAATTCTACAATTTACTAAGATGTATCAGTTTTTAGCTCAGGTAAAATCTGAATTTCATTATTTTTCTATGATACTTAGCTTTCTGGCAAAGGTAAAGAGATCCTACGGCGATCTCTGTAGTATCACGTGACTCCAAAAGCTGTCACTGAATCCTCAGGAAATAAAACTGATCACTGCCTCAGGGGCAAACAGTAAAGCTAGCGCTCATTTCGGACTACATCTAATTTAAAAGAGCATGAAAAGGAGAAATAAAGTGGCTGTTTAACCAGTTAGCGATGTTAAGAAAGTACAGATTGATATGCTCTGACCTTTTCTATTTTGCCAAATGTCGAGATGTGGGAGAGAGGGAGGGAAGGTGACGTCATAGAACCTTCACGCGGTACTTAGGCATGATGAGATATAAGAAAGCACTTATGTAAAAATAAAAGGGTAAAATGAAAGGATTTTCCCAGTTCGAGTTTAATTGCCTGTCAAATACATTCTGACTGTTATTGCAAATTGTTTTCCCTCTCTAGGACCCTCTCCCTTGCAAGAGGGGACAGTTTGAAACTTCCAAGTCTTAACACTCTATCAAATTCTTAATTAAGGGACATCACTGGAATCAAACGCCCAATTCTCAAGAACAGCCAACTAAGAATTATGGGTAGGGTAGGCTCTGAGATCTCACCAGTTAACCCTTTCACTCCCAAGTTCTCATTAGTAATTCTCATTACCGACTGCTGCACAATTCCCATGATGTTAGTTGTGAGAATTTGTTACTGAATCAACTGATAATCCCCTAATTGCCACTACTCTCTATTTCCATCACTTGTGCGCTTGAGATTGTATGGATATTGCAAGTAGATTGTCTTGGTCACTCATGGGAGTTAAAGGATTAAATAAGAAATCAAGTATGCAGATGTACCAGGGAATGAAGTTTAAATTCTTTTGTGCTAATTGCTAGGATGAGACAAAATTTCACCGGAAGTAACATAACGTTAATCAGCGAGTGTTTGTGATATTAATTTTGGAAGATCGTTCAAATTCTGGAGCTTTTCACATTCTCTTTAACTCCTCTTACTAGATCAAAATAAGCCAATCCTTAAATCGATGTATACACTACTTCATCCTTGCAACGAACACCTAAGACAAACGGTAATTCCGACTTTCCCATCACAATGTTGAACCAGTTCAAGTCAGCATACAATGCAACAGCAACAGGTTTACTTAACAAAGCCCTTTAGGGTGGTCCAAGACACTAGTTGAAACAAATAAAATCAACCCAATGGAACAGAACACGCTAATAGAAAACCATCAGCATTCAGTTAATCATCAATCTCACCCCAACTGTGCACATTTTTTGCCTCAGCTGTCTTTTTAATAAATGGCTACCAATCATTCTTTCAGTCACAAATGGATCAGTTTCAATGAGGCATAACACATCGTTCAGGCCTGTTAACACTAAACCAGACTCTGCTGTCATTTCCCTGAGAATGTTGCCTTGGTCTTTTGTTAAACCCAAGAAATATCAGAAGCCTTTACATAACTTCTGAGATGACCTTCAGCACAATCTTCAGAGACAAATTTGGACAAATAAAATGAGGTTATGGTCATTTAGCAGCAGAACTGTTGCACAAATGCTGATGGTTGACATAACAAAATTTGATTGTCGAGAGAAAAAATTCATGAAAAGTTCAGACTTCTACAATTTATGGGCTTTGTATATTCACCTGCTGTTTGCAAAGGGATTTGCTGTTTTGGTCTGATTCATATCATTTATGCAGACAAAAATATTGACAAACTGTCAAGAAACAATTTTTTTTTATTAAAGAGAAACTGCAACAAAAAATGAAAGAAAATTGAAAAAGACAACAAGCCTACCTCAAGACTTTGCATTTTTTTTGCAATGAATTCATGTTCCAATTTGTGAAAGTTTAAATTTCACTCAAAGGCCGACTCCTTATTCATAACTAATACACCTCAGTGGCTGAGGTTATATTTTCAAAAAAAATTCTTCTAAATTGCCCCGTTGTGGCATTGTTTGAACTATTCTTATTGGTTTAATTTTCGGCCAGCTTACTTTCTGTTATGTTGAAGAACCTGGAAAATGAAACAAATGACGATCAGACAAAATAATACAGTTATAACCCGAGCTATTACTCTCATACTTAAATGTATGAAACCTTCCTGAGAAAAAAAAAAAGAGAGATATCATGGTGACAAATTTCAAGATGACCTTTTCCTCTTGCATTCCTTATAAATAATATTATGGGGGCAAAGGGCTTGTTTACTCCGAAATGAGCAAATAAAAAATATATAACTCATTTAACTCAACCCATTGAATTGTTTATTCTCATAACAAACATTAATACAATGTCCTTTAAATTAACAATAGTTATGATACTATAAATACCAAACTTACCTTAGCATGAAAGCAAGCTCTGTGTTTTATTCAACATTAAAAGCAATGTACAAATCTAACATAGCATGTTACTGTATCTACATGTAAACCCCATATGCATCAGAAGTCAGACTTGCCACATGACCGTTAAACTTGATCATAAAGATAAGTGGTTTTTTAGCTACAATTCCTGCACACTCATCCTTAGATGTATTTTTTTTTAGGATGTAAATAGGGTTTACATAACCTGAAAAACAGGAAGCAAGAATTACGAAAATATCACTACCCACAAAGTAGTTTTAAGATCACTGTTACATGAACCATTAATTAACGTATATTGCATTTAGCAGGGAACAAAGTTTAGTCACTAAACAGATTACTCACATTACTAGGAAGTTTGCACTATGCCAAATAGTAGAGCAATTTTCATTTCTTTTAATTTTAGCCATCTGAAAAGATGTTTTAGGTATTTTGCCAAATAGCTTCCAAAGAAAAACTACATGATTGAGCTACTATTGTAACATATTAGCACAAAGTTCCTTTCTCCCATTCCAGAAATTGGAGAATGTCTGCCACAAAACAAAAAAAGACTTGATCATTTTAATTGCATTTTTCAGACAAAATAAATAATTCAAAGACACTAAGGGTTAATAAAAATAAAATAATCAAAAACAAAAATCAGCATGTTTTAACTGCTTTCATCTTCTAATGAATAACTCTGAAAACTACTGATCTAACCATAGGCTCCAGACTAAATAAATACAAAAACCAGTCTCTTCTACACACGCGATTCTGTGTTGGATGCTTGCCTAGTCCTGTCTGAATGGCACATTCTGCTCAGCTCAGTAACTTTGGAGAAAACACGGTCATGAGGCTCTAGTGATCGTGTCCACTTTGGCAACCATTCCCAGTCTTGGAGAACGTCTGGTAAATGGCCAGGAGCTTTCCTCTGAAAGATGTTCACAATGACAATGAACAGGAAGAGAAGTAGGAGGGGTGCAGCTACACCAAGGAGAATCTGCCAACCAGCAAGTGACAAGCCAAAGACAGCTGCTGGAAGAAGGAAAAAGCCAAACACCAGGTATGCAATGGCAAACCATCTGTAGTCAGCCGTTTTGTTTCCTAATGACTTGGCAAAACCAATGGGAACTTTTCGCAGGTAAGGGATAGGATACCACACCAGGATACCAGAAATATTGAAGAATAGATGGCAGAAGGCAATCTGAAGGGCCTTGTCTAGATTTGACGAACTTGCCAAAGCAGCCAAAATACCTGTTGCAGTTGTTCCAATGTTTGAACCCAAGGTAAGAGGGAAGGCTCGTTCAATGGTGACAACTCCAACTCCTATGAGAGGTGTAAGGGCTGACGTAAAGATGGAACTGGACTGTACCAACATAGTAAGACCAGCACCAACAAGAATTGCCAAGTAGCCAGTGAGGTGTTTGAATGGTCCAGGGAAGTCTGCATTGACAGTCTTCTTGATTATTTTTGCCATCTGACCACGAAGCATGGAGTGAAGAACCTTAACAATACTGACAAGACAGATACAGAGCAGGCCAATGGAGAGAACCAGGATTATGATGCCAACCTCAGTGTCACTCAGGGATGTACCATGGAAGAGAAACTTGCATGAGGTAGGTTCAATTGTTGTCACATTTTCCAAATAAGTAGTCCCATTCAAGGTTTTATTAACAGCCTCTGTTACTTCCTTGGGTGAACAGTCTTTGATAAGGGATTTTGACTCTGCTGATTCATCTCCCAGTGCAATATTCTCTATAATTTTTTTGTCTAACTGAATTATAAGCTTAGTAAATGGTTCTGTCAATTTCTTCAGCAACTTTTTGTTGGTTCCTTTCTTCTGAGTCAAAGGAAGTACATTGATGATCTTACCAGTAAGATGAAGTAGGAAATGTGTGATAACCTCCAAGGGCAGGAATATGAGCACAGACAGCCAGTTAAATATATCATGTACTGTCGCACCAGCAAAGGCACGTCGAAACTCATTACGCTCAGCAGCTTGTGCAAGTGAAACTATGGTGTTGGTGACTGATGTTCCTATATTGGCACCCATCACAATTGGAATAGCAGGCTCAACATCTAAAACTGAAAAAAATGTACATACTCTTTTACATCTACTAAAATTCAATTTAATTCAAAAATCTAGCAAGGCTGTTTATGTCAACAAAATTTAGCTAAAATAACACAATTGCACTCAGTCAAAGACCACATTCAAGACCAATATTTACCCCTTAACAAGTCACCATACAACTTCTGAGCGAATGATGGACAAGAAACATCACAATTTCATCCTAAGTAATTAATACAAATCTCCTTTAATTAGCGTGAAGTTTTAAATTTAATGTTTTGCCAATAACAAAAAATCGTGTCTGATATGGCCCTTGCATACATTAACCTCCACAAATTAACAAACCTCGGTATTCAGAACTATAGGTGATGAGGCATGGCAACATAAAGAGCACTTACTACGCAAATAACATCACTGAAATTCGTCACTTGACGAGATACTCTTTCAATATACTTAATTACTGAAGACCGAATTTTTCGTCAACGAAATATTAGAGTCTTAAAGAGCTGCCAAGTGAAGTTAAAACACTGAAAAATTTAGTTATCAATCATGTTCGGAAACAAAATTGTGCATTACAACAGGTGTCAAATGTTCCTCAACACTGGCAATGGGGGCAACTATTGACGTATCCAATAGTTTTCACTAAACCTACGATTAATGCCCGAAAAACATCAAAGAAGGTGAAGAAAAATTTTAAAAAACTGTACGAAATCTGAAAGAAGTGTTCAAGTTTTCACCCCCAAACGATTGATTGCTAGCAAAAATAAAGAATTCAACAAATATTTAACACAAACTTGTACTGAGGAGTGTTATTTTAAATGCTTCTTTTAAAAATACCAAATCAAACTTACTCTGCGCAGCGACCATTGAAACAACGATGGATGTGGTTGTAGATGAACTTTGGACAAGAACCGTTGCCAAGATGCCGATCATCAAGCCAGCGACGGGGTTACTCAAAATTTTATTAGACGCAAATGCTTCGCCTGCCGCTTTTCCTCCAAGCAATCGGAAGGCACTACTGAGGAAGTCCAGTGAACAGATAAATACATAGAGAAGACAAAGAAGAAGAATGACCTTGCCAACTGCCAAAGCCACTCGTTTCACTTTGCCGCATCCATCAAGTTCTGTGGGCCCGCCAAAATCAGAATTAGTGTTGAACGGGAAAATCGGTTCACAAATACTATAAATTTCATGAAAAGATCAAAAATTACAACAACAAAAGCTTTACTACTTACCAGACCACTTAGGGCCAAGATCTTGGAGTTCAGGCAAAGCCCAAGGATCAAATTCTTCACCCTCTTCGTCCTCGTGAAGTCCATTTCCCGCCTCCTCGTCTACCGGCAAGTAAGCTTTATTGTAATTCTAAAAAATAGAGGATCGAAAAAATTAAAACATTTTCTAGGTCACTGAGAATTATTACCTTGGGCAGTGGTGAACCAAATCGTGTGGAAAGTCTCTACGCGTTAGTTACTACCTACCGGCGGATCTGCCTGACCCCGATTTTCCATTTCAATACCAGTCAGCTTGGAAGAGCTATTCATTATGTCCGCCATCTTGGGAGAACTGACTAACTGTTGGATGTACAACAGTTTTATCTGGTCCAAAATTACGTAAAGATGGTAATCCAATCACATTCGACCGGGAGTAACGATACCCATTTTGATTGGCTGCTGCGGATGATCCGAGGTATCCGCATGACACCGACACGTGAAAAAATTGAACTTTGACGTTCGCGGGTCGTGCGAGAGGATCTTGAACAGCGTACACGTGGTTATGTGGGTTTTCTCTGAAGGAACAAGTTCCCTATGCGTTTCGTTGTTGGCGGGAACCTTTTCTTCAGAGTTGACACTTCCCATAAAAAAAAAATTTTGGCGCAGTTTACAAGGATCCTCAAAATGGACGTGAAATTTGAGGTTGGGCCACAGGTGTGTACGAGATCAGTAATATTCATGTTAAAAATGTTCTTCCCTCAACAACTCTGTCGGTGTCTTATAGTTTCTAGAGAGAAAATGTGGCACCTTTGATGTTATTCCCTTGAGACGGTTCTTTTCTTCAAAAGAACGGGGTAAAAAGAGTATCTTGGGTGCGTACTGTTTTCCAATAAACGGAGTATAGCACATGTTTAACGGTGTTCTTTTTTTCTTCCCTATTTGTATTGTTTAATGTTTGTTCTCTCCCTCACATGGTCTCGTTTTCCATAAAGCGCGCGCGGATCACGCCACAGGTTCAAGTCGAGCAGGTCGAGTAATCCCACGCTTGGCCAACTCCGGTGTGCGAGCGACTGTCATAAGATTATTGAGAGATAAAATCGCAAATTTTTGTCCAACGTTTTTCTTTATCCATAGCATGCCTCTCTCTCAAAGATCGTTTGTTTCTTTTATTCAAGCGGAAATGGCGCAGGTAAAGTTGGATTTCTCTCTCAGTTTCTTCTGGATAGAACCAGTAGAGAAATCCACGAGGAAAATGTTGAAATAGCAATCACTACAAGTTTGAAATCTAACAACATATGAAAATTTCAAGAAAATGAAGATCCAATTTTTTTCGCCAACCTAAGTTAAAGACCGAATACGTCTTTTTACATCTTGTTCAGGCAGCTTGAGCAACTCATCCGAGACATATGTGATTGAAGGAGAATCCCTTCGTCCAGGGACTGTTTGTTCTTAAGGACAAGCTGTCCAGTGTAATGCTGGGTGAATGTGTTACTTCACTCTGCCACTCACGTCTCTTGCTCAGACAAGAGACGTGAGTGACGTGTGAATGTCGCAAATTGTAACTTGCAATAGTCTTGGCTTTTTGTGTTTCTGATTTTATCACTTGGTTTTCAAATTACGCAATTTGGAACGTTAAGACGGAAAATGTGTCTGGCGATGCTAAATTATTCAGGCAAAGATTGTTTCCAGAGCGTTAGAAACCCCATTATGGATCGTCATAAAGCTAAGCGTGAGAGTTTCTCGCGTGGTCTTTTCAGCTGCTCCCTGTGCGAACACGTACGCTAGAAGGACTAAAGAAGGAAAGGTCTAGCGGCCTAACAGTAAAAATGATCAATGAATAACAACAATACAGTGGAGAAAAGTGCGTGAATCAATCACTTTTAACTGACTCTGGGAAAGAAATATTTAAACCATCGATTCTTTTGTTGCTATGAAATTCTTTCTCACTTGATTTTACGCTAACAAGAGCACAGGCGGAGGTACGAGAGAAATGTAATGAAACTGAAAGGTGCATATTAACTAGAACTTTTCGGAGATAAATTCTAAATACTTTAGAGTAGATAGCTAAATATTCCGATAGATGAACTAATATTTCCTCCACTGAGTCACGCAAAACGGAAAAAGAAACATTAGTATTTAAAGAGAGCCATTGTTCGTGATTTCGACGCACTGATTGCTGAATCATAATATCGGTTTTCCGGATAACTTAAGAGTACTAAAACACTGAGGCGGTAATAAATAACACACAACCACACGCCCTGATTCGTTTATGATTTGACTCTGAGCGAAAGAGTTCCTCCGGCTCATTACATGCCGACCACGGCAACATAGAATAAAACATCTCACGGGTTAGCCACAAAACAAAGGTCAACGCGGACGCTCGAAAATGGAACAAAATATACTTTTATTTTGTGAACAATCTTGCAGATGCTTGAGTCCTCACCTAATGTACTTAATACAAGCGATATCAGGCTCTCGTGACGAATTGCATATAGGACATCCAGGCATTTACTTAGGCGAGAGAAGATAACCTCACGTAGGCAATTTATGTAAAACATGTTTACGTCTCAATGGAGGAAGTTTAAGAAGTTTAAAAAATAGTTTTCAAAATATTTTCTTTCGATTTTTTGAGGTATTTTTTGCGTTTAGGCGCTTATTTTGTTCTACAGAGCTCTCTCTAATTGACCTTACTACATCGTGGCTGGCTACGTCAGCACGTGTTTGCTTTTCCGGTTTTAGCTAAAAACTTGAGTACGTTTTTGTCGAAGTCATGATACTTAAAGATTAAAATATATACAGAAAAGCTTTGCTATTTTTCTCCTTTTCATCTTCCTTTTACTTCATTTACTGGGACTGTCAACACGAGCGACTGATCAAGACAATTTAAACGGCCAGATCGTGTTAAGAAGCAAGTTTTCAGTCGTTTACCTGATACAAGGTATATACTTGGCCCACTATCAATCACGCGAAAAAAAGATTATTTTGGGGATTTTGATATTTCTCTCGTGTTCTTTAGACACTTGAAAAGGAAATTGGCGCCACACCTCAGGGAATAAGTGAGCAGAAATAATATATTCAGTTTTGTGAAAGACATCTTTGCATGTCGATGACAAAACCGTTTTCTGTCACCTGTAGCAACGTGCTTTTTTATGACATTGAAAACAACAATGAAATAAGCGGTTTGGCAATGACCTTCAATGCTACTCAAAGGACCCTCAGCAAGGGAAAATTTCACATGGAAAGTACATATTGCACTTGTTTGTATGGGATTTTAATATTATTTACGTTCTTTAACACTTGAAAAGAAAATTGGTGCCAAATTTTAGCGTGCGCGCCTATGTACGTTTAGGAGTCGTTCCTGACATGGTCGGGCTTTCTTTGTCTATAAAAAAGACAAGACTTAACGAGGGTGAAGATGAAATTGCCGAATCAAATCTTCGATAAAGAATGCCAAGAACTCAGGCTCATTTCAACAATGCAAATACTTTAGACCAATACGAGCTCGAGTCCGAGGTTACATGACGCTGTTCAGGAAAAAAAAAGATTTCAAAATAACATTCAAGCACTCTAGATGGGCCGCGTTTTTTATGTTGTAAAGATAAGTAAACTATTTCGGCTATATCATTTCAATTGCTGCTAAAAAATATCCCAGTGCTGAGAGCAGGTGGGAACGCATAGCCAGCACAGAGGATGAACAGAAAGACACGGATGAATGGATCGAACAACATTTAAGCGCAGACTGCAGTGCGCTTTGAATAGTTTTCAGCCTAAAAGTTTTGAACTTGATCGTCTTGCATTTAAGCGATAGCGCTGGATACACTATATTTTTTGCTCTTAACCTGTTATTTGATCATTTGTAAGGCACCCCTTCTAATGTTAGGTTTCGAGTACATTATTCCTTAGTGTATTCTGTCCAGACTTTATGCAAAGTATTCTCTTAAATAGTAAACTGAGAGATCCATGTTCTAGGTAAGATCATCTGTGAACAATATCTAACGGAATAGATGCTGGTTTGATTACTAGCAGTAAATTATTTCTACCTCCGCAAGTGTAAAAAAGAAAGACACAAGAAACTTTAAAGGATATATGAGGTTTTCTATTTCTTTTGTTTAAATTCACTCTGCCCGGCCCGCGTCGTTTTGTTATGATTGGTTTTGTGATTTATTCACCTCGACTAAACGTCCTAGTGAAGAATGCGCATGACTTTCTTCAACCAAAAACTCGCCACGAAAAATAAAGAAAAAATACATATATACATATCAAGACTGCAGGAGGAGAGATTGAGAAAGACCTCGGCGAAAAACAAACACCATCAAAGTACATTTGTGCAAGAACGAACGAGTTTAATTTAATATCATTGCCACATCATGTACACAATCTACAACTTCAGTGACGCACGAGTGACGTAAAGAGCTTATTCGCGCAATGACATGTTATATTTCTCATTTTCTGTTACAATAACTGAAAATGCCTATATGATTTTAGTCACGGATAGAAAAAACCCCATATTTAATCCTGTCCGAACGATCTACCCCGATCGGTGCACAACGATGTGCCAGACCCTGAAACTAAAAGTCAACCCGTTGTGCCACACTCTTTCCGAACAGGTTACCTCATTCAAACTCCCTGAGTATCACTTGAATAAACTTCTTGGAGTATCATGGCACCATGCTTGTTGTTGTTGCGTGTGTGCAAGTATCCATAATTTTGTCAAGACAGAATTGACACCGACCATGCTAAATAATCAATTAATTATGCCTGTTTTTGGTTGACCCTGTGAAAACTCACCCCTTTGCATGTTTTGAAACAGAAGACGATTTAGGTGTGTATTAAAAGGAATTTCCTTCCTGGGTAATTATAACAAAATTTTCTGTGTCCGACCTTCAGAAACCGGGCTCTTCTTTACTATAGCGGGTTCCTCAAGGACATAATCCCTTGGGGAGCTCTTTCAGAGGGTGATAAAATCAGACACTGATGAGTTATTCCTATGTATTACTAACAATGATAAATACCGCCTTTCTCAAATATTATTTTTGTTGAGCAATAAGACTCACAACTCTGACAACTTAAGAGCTGGTACTATCTAACTAACGCAGAGTCTGGGATGAAGTCGCTCGAATGGTAAGGTTTTCGACGTTGGATTAATCCATGTCGTCATTGTCTGAGAGCGAACGGCGAGCGAACCGCGAAATTTCGCAATGTTTCCTACTGAAACTCCAGGAAAATATTGGGCAATTAAACTGCGAAAGTTGAGAGTCGCCCATGGTACATCAAGAAAACATTGCAAGAAATTGTCTATCTTGGAGAGTTTGTTCAGTACGAATTAGGCCCAACTATTAATTAAAGTTTGTCAA